CAATTCCCAGCAAATGTGTGTCTCATTCTGTATCATTTTTGCATCTAATTGCATTTCCTAACCACAGTGAAATACACCAGGCCAAGCGTTTCAAAGGAATTACTGCCCTCGTCAGCCTGGTGCCCTGGTAACACCACCTGCTATGTGCTGCGATCACCCATGGAATGCCCTCCATGTTCTGTTTCCTTTCATCTGACTCGCCCTGGGGAGTGGGTGGCTGTGTACTGGGTCAGGGTTCAGGATCACTTGCTTAGATTAGTTGCCTCCTAGTGAAATAATCCTATTCTGTTTGATCACCGACGTTGTCTGCATGGAACTCTTCTCTCTCGGCACATGAAGCTGCTTGCCGCTGAACCTGGCTTAGAAAAATAATCACTTTCCACTGCCAGTTTCTCAGATATTCAGACTAATAACTCCTCACCACTGCTGTCCCCTCTCTCTGCCAGCCAGGGAAAGCAGCCTTGCTAGCTGGAAAGCTTGGCGTGGAATTTGCTAATTGTGACACTGAGCATTGGACTGGAACTCTAGGGGCAGCTTTATAAAGCATCAGTTGGGTGCCTTTAAAACTCTGGCTCCCTAGTTAGTGTCTGTAGAACTATTTATCCCATTAAATGTTCAGTGAAGTGTAATGTCATGAATTTCTACACAGACATGTCCCGTGCTCCCCACCCGCAGAGCACTCGCAGCTGACCTCTCCTCCATTGCCCGTTCGGCTTTAGACTTCAGCATTCACTGTCATATAAATCGCAGGAGTTGAAGGTACAAAGTATCGAAGTGAGGACAAAGCCTTCTACCAGCGCGTGCTTATGAGATGCACAGTCAAGCCCTTTGTGTAACCACAAACAGCACCTACAAACTTGGGCTGTGCCACTATGAACCGAGGCCACCACTGAATGAGCTTGCCAAAGCCTTGGGGTTAGAGAGTTCTGCAGCAAAGCTGCCTTGTTTCTCTCCGTGGGTTAGCCAAGAAGGACATTTCGTGAACTGGATAGTTAGGATCCTGCTGTCTGCAGTTTTTGGAGGCACTTGGGCACTGGACCATAGGCAGTTGTTCCTGACACTGTCCGATTTCCCGGCTTTGAAAACTGAAACCTGTAGAATAATAATGTGTTTTGAAACTCTGCTTTTCCCCTTTGGTGTTTTATACGCAGCATATTGATGCAAACAAAACTGAGATAATCCCTGGCAGTTCTTACATCTCTGTGCCTTTGGCTCCCCTGTCAAGTCCGGGTGGTAAGAAGCCGAGAGCAGCTGTAACAATCACCGTGCTCTTTCTTTTCATGTGTATGCTTGTTTCCCCTTTTTTTTAAAACACAGCTTCATTACTGAGCTACGAAGCTGTGCGGACGTTTGGTCTGACCTCAGAGAGTGACTGGAAGGGACCTACTCCGATATGGAGACGTGTTCGCTTTTCTAGGCATTTCCTACAGTGCCTCCTTCAGTGAACGACTGAATAACATAGGAGAAGATTTTGCAAGCCTGTGTGTGATGTGTGTTTGCTTCACCTCATGTGATCGCTGTCTCTGTAGAGGGTAGCTTCCTGTTCTGTGGCTGCACAGTGCCACCCTGCAGAGCTCAGCTGCAGAAGAGCAGTCCCTTTCTTCTGTGTACCACCCAACTCTCTCTCATTCCCCCTTGTTTCCTTTCCCAGGATCTGTGGGGACGCCGCTGCCAGGGGTGGAAGTGCGCATTGCCACGGAGCGCTTCAGCAGGGAAGGTCCTTCCTACACCATCCACGCTCAAGGAGATGAACGTGACACAAAGGTAGCATGCAGCCATGTTGTCTGCTTCTGTCTCTTGTCTCTGTGACAATCTGCTAGGGTTCTCAGAGCTGAGTCGCTGCGTTACCTCTCCCAGCCTCAGCGAGTGGGAGCCTGGCTGATGCTAAGCTGGGTGTATCAGCTCCCTGACACACCAGCTTGTCGCCCTGCCAGCAAACTGCTAGGACTCCCATCAGTCCAAATCTAGCCTTGCAGTAATTAGTGAACCCCGATTCCCGAGTCCCTCAGAGTCGGGTATCTGCGGTGCTCAGTCCCTCTCACTGTAGCACTCACAAAACTCTAGCAAGTTTGCCACTCCTTTAAAGGGCGAGAACACAGCAGCCTAGTAAGGTAACTGGGATGGGTAAACCCTCCACTTCAATCAAAGCTGGGGTTGGTTTATAGTAAAGTAAGTTTCTGAATAAGAGGGCATAGGTTTGAGTGATATCAGGTGTAAGGAATAAAGATAGAAATGGTTACAAACAAACACAAGTAAGGAAATGCTTCTAGGATTTCAATCTAAATTAACTAGTGTCCTTAGACTAGAGTCCTTTGTTCAAAGAAGTTTGTCTCTCCGGTCTTTCTTCCAGCATGGCTGACCCATGTTTTAGCCAGGACTCTTCACAGAGCTCGGAGTGCTTGGGTCCTTTGTCTCCTCAGATGAAGGGTAACTTAGAGGTTCTCTCCCCCCAGATCCGGTTCCTTTTCCTTGCTGGGTGTAGGCTCCATATTAGCTCCTCCCCCGCTGATGATTTTTACAATGCAATGATCTCTTCCTGCAACCGCCGATTCCAGTGAATAGCCCATTGAATTTGGACACACCTGGTTTGAGGTGCTGGCCTCTTTCCTTGTCTGGAGATACCCTGTTTATCAACTCGCCCTGACCTGCCTGGTGTAAACACATTTTAGTTACGTATTTCCAGCACATCTGTAAAATTCTGTGTGGATTAACCGTGCATAAATCATGCAAGAATATTAATGATCAGTGAGTTATTAGTTTTCCAGTGATCTATTACATGCCTCTTTTGGGTAAAGATCATGACAACAGTGTGACACTGGTATTGGGTTGCTCTTTGGGTCCTGCTCTCAGTGAAAATTATGAAAACACTTCTCCCCTTCCCCTGAGACCCAGAAAGAGGCAGACACTCTTGCTATCCCTAGTGACGCACTGATATTCGTTAGTCTCATCTCTTTATTGTATGCTATATTAGTATTATGTGGTCACTGGAGCTTTTGAAGAATAGGTTAGACAAATACCTGTCAGGGTATGGTCTAGCTAATACTTAGTCCTGCCTCATTGCAGGAGACTGGAAAGACGACCTCTCGTGGTCCCTTCCAGTCCTACATTTCTAGGATTCTTTGATTATTCCATGTGTGGCACTTTACAGACCAAACAAGTAACTGTCCTTGCCCTAAGGAGCTTGCAGCGTATAGACCAGACATCTGTATGTAGGTTTGGAGCAGCAGGCAGAGTGCATCTTAGACACAACACCTTCCTCCTCTTTCCCACCCCCCAATTGCCAGGGTGCCCTTCACCTGGCTTCCCTTTTGTGCCCTCATTGTAGGTGCGATTCACGTCACGTACTGTAGATCGATAACCACGGGATCTGCAGGCTCGCTCAAGTAAATAAGTGTGTATGTGAGAGGAATTACACCAGCAACCACTTATGTGTGGGTGCAAAGCAGGGAGGCCAGTCTTTGAAAGCTGGTCCTAGACGAAGGAATGACAGAGTTACTGGACTCTCTAGTAAACCAGGTTAGTTTCTCCTGTAGCCATGTGGATGCCAGGGGTTCTAGCGGAGTTCCTGATGAGCACAGGAAATACTTGCTTACACTGCTCACGTAACTACTGGTGACAAGCTCAAAGAAAACTTCTTAACTCTGTCTCCTGTAAATCACGATTGAGGTGGTTCTCTATGCTGGAGCCTGGCCGGAAGAGCTGCTGTGGGTTGGGACTGAGGTGCAGCTGTACAGTGAGAAGGCCAGAACTGGAAAAGCAGTGAGGGAGAGGCATAACTGGATTGAAATCCATTTGAAGAGCTGTGTGTGGGGAGGTCAGACTGCATCTACCCTCAGTGTGCCACGCTGCAGCCAGCACTATGTGACTCCTTTTAATTTGTATAAAAATCCCTCAATTACCTAAGAGAGGTTAAAAAAAAGTGAAAGCTTGTCAGGGCATTCTGGCACCTTGATAGAGTTATAGAGCCTGTCTGTTAGCAAAACCAGCATGAAGATCTGGGCAGGAAAGGGACTTACTATGCGTCTAGCTGTAATTACTGTTGGCCTGCGCGTTAAATGACCTTGTTTTGCTGAGAGGTGGGCAGAGTAGAGGACTCTTAAAATGACCCTGTGGGCAGTTTAACATGTGAGAAGTTGTGTCCCATTTTTGTCATGTCTTTGCTAGAGAGAGCCTGGAAATCTGTTTGCTTTCTTATTTCTGACTCCTGGTCTTAGAGTTACATGTCGGTCCTTTTTCACTTGCATTGGGTGGGGACATGAAATGTAAACCATTTGTCCGGTACAATTTTAATAATGAGCCCTTACCACTATTCACCCGGAAGAATCCCAGTGCTCTTTCCGAATTAGATCTAGAATATAAGACTCCTTTGCCCGTTACAGAAATCAATCGCCTCCGGGGTGAGATGTGGTCACTGTTTTTAATGTACAGGTGAACAAAATATATGTGGTTTTTGTTTGATTTTTGCAAAATTCTGGACCAAAGCTAGGCTGGCTGTGCACCCAGGCTATCTGCTAGTCCCTGTGGGGGCACTGGATCTCGTTTTATTTAAGGGGGAAGCAGAGGAGAATGGGAGTCCAGACTTCATGTAGCTAAACCTCAGTCGTCCAAGCCTGGCTCATGTCCCCCTGTGGTTTCAGGGAAGTGAGGCTTTGTACTACTCTGTATAGTACTGAGCTGGCTGGGTTTACACACCAGGGGCCATCATTTACCCCTTTGCACCTGCCTGTCACCTCCTCCCAATTATCCATCACTGGGCATTTCCCTCATTCGGTGCCACATACCGTATATCCTGCCAACCAAACTCCGCCCTGATGTAAGCGGTCGCAGCACATATCGAAGTCTAAATGTCATTTGCAGTCACTGGGAGCTGCACTTGCTTACCCCAGCTCTGAAATTGGCCCCAAGCCTCTAGCTGATGCCTGGCTAGAGGCTGACTTTCCATCAAAGTCTCCCTAGGGCCTTTTGAATGTTCTGCTGAGTTTGCAAGATGTCTGACTCGGAACGTACAGGGAGACAGAGATGTTTGCCTCTGGGTATTGTCCTGATCATTCTTCTAGTGTGAGTCCAAACAGCTGTCCCCATCTCTCACGCACTGCCCCTTTGCCCAGCCTTTCAATCTGTTTTTTCCATAGCCTGGCTGGTAGTTTCTGAGTACTGGAAGGGAGACTGTCCCATCTGCTTATACCCATCCTTTGAGCAGCCCCTGTGCTAATGGGGCTGAACTAAGAGATGGCTTTGTTTGTTGATACTTACAGGTATTTCCAGTCTGTCCCATTGCTAACAGACTATTTCCAATGGCAAAGTGCAGCAGCGTACTACTGTAGTTGTCAGGAAGTGACCAAGATGGGCAGTGTGGGTGCAGCCTTGAATGCATGTCTCCGTAGATAAAATCACTGAGATGCCAGGAGTTTAATATCGTTATTACGTGGAAGCAGCCAGCCTGAGCAGCATGACTTTATAGTCCATGGGTGTGCTGTCCGCCAGGTGCTAGTCACCTGATGAGCTCAGAGACTCTCACTATGCACCTGTTCTGCTGGAAACGGCAGTGGCCTTGGCAGAGACCGAGAGAAAGTGTATGTATGTCCTAAATTAACAATATAATTTAACTCCTTCCTGCTGCAGTGAAACACTGAAAGCCTCAACTAATGCATGTTCCTGGGCTGACGTGCTGGGTACACGTTTGTCTAATAATTTATATCACCAGAGAGTATTTCAGTGAAACATGCTTAAAGTAGAAAAGACCCAAATCCCCATCTCCCCGCGACAATCAAAGGGAAACATGCTGAGCTTTGTTTATACGCGATGAAACGAGGGGCTTCCCGAACGCCATGGCTCTCTCCCAGAGATCAGGATTCTGACTCAGACGCCAAGACTCCTGGGTTCCAACCCTGGTTCCGCCACTTCGGCAAGTCACTTCCCTTCTTTGTGCCTTGGTTCCCCCCTTTTGTGAAATGGGGATAAAAATATTTACTTCCCTCCCTCACTGGAGGGTTAAGAGCCATAATTAACATGTGCTGAGGACTTTGAGATCCATGTACTTAAGCCAGGGGTGGGCAAACTACGGCCCGTGGGCCGGATCTGGCCCCTCAGGGCTTTGGATCCGGCCCGCGGGATTGCCTCCAGTGGTGCCGTGGGCCCCGCGCCGCTCTCAGACGCATCCGGCACCATGACGTCCCTGCGGCCCCCGGGCAGGGGGGCAGAGGGCTCCGTGCGTTGCACATGCCTCCAGGCACCGTGCCCCGCCGCTCCCGTTGGCCGGAAACGGGGAACTGCGGCCAATGGGAGCTTCGGGGGAGGTACCTGGAGGCGCAGCAAGGGCAGAGCATGCGGAGCCCTCCACCCCCCTCCTTCAGGGGCCGCAGAGCTTCCTGGAGCGGCGCGGGGCCGGGGACAGGGCAGGCAGGCAGGGAGCCTGCCCTGGCCCCGGTGCACACCGCTGCCACCCCGGTGCCGCTTTAGGTAAGCGGCGCCGGGCCGAAGCCTCAACTCCCTGCCCTAAGCCCCCTGCCTGCACCTCGCACCCCTCCTGCACCCCAACTCCCTGTCCTGAGCCCCCTCATGCACCCCGCACCCCTCCTGCACCCCAACTCCCTTCCCTGAGCCCCCTACCGCAACCCATACCCCTCCTGCACCCCAAACCCCTGCCCTGAGCCCCCTCATGCACCCCAGTCCTCTCCTCTGCCCCAATCCCCTTCCTGCACACCCCACCCCCCCACACACCCCAATCCCCTGTCCCGGCCCTGCATACAATTTCCCCACCCAGA